TGAAAGTCAGCCTACGTTTCGAAGGAACATATCACCTTCATCTTCAGTGCCTCTGCTTGCCACCTGCTTTCACGCTGGTATCTTGCTTGTCTTATTTTATCCTGAAAATGAAAGCGATATGTCCTCTGAAACGTCCGTTGAATTTCAACGGACTACACGGCGTTATATCCCAAGGGATACACTTTCGATGAGAGTAAAGAATACAAAATAGAAAGTTATATAATTTATGCAGACAATTAGCGTCGTTGTACCGAAACACAATTAAATAAACTCGAAGAAAGCAAAATAGGAAGTTGAACTTGTTTTGTTTCGCGCGGACCAGTCATGGCTGGGTTATGCAAGCGGCAGCCATGGGGATCATAATGTAAACATAACGGTCCATCTTCCGTTTGCCCTTGGCCTCCATACAACTGAACTCTCTCTCTCTCTCTCTCTCACACGCACACACTCACTCCAACATAACTGAACTCTATTTCATTCTCCCACTCGAACGTTTTTCTACACAAGGTTTTATACTAAAAAAGATTGTTTTATTATGCACGAACTATTTCGAACATGTAAGTGCTCGGTAAAGCCTTTAGCCTGTTACTGTCTTTGATTAATAAATTAACAATTTCCTTGCTGGTTGTTCCGTAAAATGAACTCTTGTTGCGATATTCTCATGGAAATATATATATTGTCTTCTTGAAAAGTAACAAATCAGACTTAAATATAGGCATTTCAATGGCTTTTACGAACATCAAATAGGCCTAAATTCCGATTAGATAGGTCAGTTTTTACGAATGAGGGAACTCGGCCATAATTCAAAAGGAATAAGAGGCTGATGGAATATCCTTTGTCAGATACAGTGCAGTGAGGTATTTAGTTTTTGTACTCAGTAACAAACGTTGCCGACTGGAGTGCCGGCATGGCCCAGAGGGCACTGGTGTCGCGGGCTGAGCTCTGCTAGGATCTCAACATTCATCATAAAAGATCGAAATAATCACTCGGCAAAAGAGTAATATACGAAGACGTAATTAAATCTGGTGCTACAAAGAGGATATTCTTGAGAGCTTCAGGTTCCTAAGAGTACATCTTAAAACCAGTCCTTCCAGCAGTAAGCAGAAGTGACGTGTCACCGTGCAAATTTAATAGATCAAAGTACAATGATTTACCACTTAACCATTATCACATCGTAATAATTCGCGCAACTACCATGTTAGTTTACATATTAACTCAAAATTGGCTTAACATTTACATAGTTTTCAAATGTTTGTCGCCATACTAAACTTAAGACCCTATGTGACGTGGCACAAGTTCGCACGATGGCCATGTTTTGTGTAAATATGGTATTAAATAGCATGATATTTGGTCAGTTATTATCTAACAATATTAGTGTGTTCTTTTCGAATAAGTGGGCGGACACGCAGTCCGTTAATGGGTCACGAAACTCTAGCAAACGAGATAGATGGCCATAATTACGAACATTAGACAAGTTATCAGGTTTCTATTTCTATTATTGCTGTACAGCCTTTTGGATCTTGGCAGCTTTTTCAGTTTCTTAATCATCTACAGATTCGGTAGAACTCCTTAGCCGGGGGATCAGTCCGTCGCAAGGCCGCTACCGGCACACAGAACAACACAAACAAAATAAACGCACAGAGATGCAAACATCCATGCCTTGAGTGGGATACGAACCCACGATCCCAGCTTTTGAGCGAGTGAAGATAGTTCATGCCTTTGACCGCGAGGCCATTGTGATCGGCAAGTTATCAGGTTAAGGGTTCGTATTCTTAATTGTGAAAAGTGCCCTTTATTCGCTTGGGGATTTCTCAAAACCAATTTTACTGGCAGAATTCTACACGTATGAGGCCTTGCACTAGAGAACTATGAACATAGAAGTTATCGCCGGAGAGACAAATTCCCCGTATGGTACCAATACAAGAAACATAAATTTACCCACCTAATCTTCACTGGACGGAGTTGCTGGGAAAACGGGAGTCCAGATGAGAGAAATGTCCAGGCAGGGTTACCGATCGGATGGTCCATTAAGAGACGTGTGGGCGCAGTCCTTGTACGTATATTTGCAACGTCTCGTTCCTTGCGCTTCCTCATTTTCACGTACCTGCATCCATACCTAAATGCCTTTCCAACATTTATCTGAATTTTCTTACAAAGTGCTCAGAACCGATTTCTATTGACGTATTTTGGAAGTGGACAGGAACTGTAACATTATAAATCGAAATTAAGCCTACAACTTTAACATGCTCATCATGAATTCGTATACGGCTTACGTAATTCGGCGCCTATTCTTCATATATGGCAATGACAGTGAAAATCCGGTTAGGAGAGAAATTGGCATGCAACTGGAAGGGATTACATCCTAATGCAAACAAAAACAAACTCCGTGGCCTGTAGTCTGCAAACGAACTACACCCACCGACCGAACGCCGCTTATCGGCGAAGTTAGTGCCAACTTTTGCGGATAGAGAGTGTCATGTGGTCAGCGCAACGGATCCCCACGGCCGTTAATTTCGGTTTTCTAGACCTGAACCGCTATTTCCTTGAAAAAGCTCCTCAGTTATCCTCACGAGGCTGAGTGGACTTCGTTCCAGACCCACTCTTCCTCAGAAAATCTGGTAGTGCCGGGAATCGAACTCGGGACCTCTGGATCTGTATCCAGGAACTCTGACCACTAGGCCACAGACAAACACTCTTTTATACTGTATGCTATTTTCCGTCAGAGTCATTGACTAAGTTTGACACTCGCAGATAACAGATACAACTGTAAATATGTACCTCCACTTTAGGTTTTGGAGCCTGGATAGCGCAGTTGGTATAGCGACTAGCTACGGTCTGGACGACCGAGTGGTCGGAGCTCGAGTCCCGGTAGATTTAAGTATTTTATCTTCTCCACGTAATCCAGACCTGCTCTGGCGTCCACCCAGCCTCCTATTCAATAGGTACCGGGTTCTCTGCCCCCGGGAGTAAAGCGGCAGGGGCGTGAAGCTGACCACTCACCTCCAGCTAGTGCCGAGGTCAAGGAAATCTGGATCTGAACATCCACTCCTCCATACGCCTTCATGGCGTAGCACTTAATTAATTAATTAAGCACAAGGACAAGCTCACCTTTCTTAAGCTGCATATTTCTCAATTTTCACCTCGTGTTGCTCTCTGCAAAACAAAGATGATTAAAAAATGCTAACATCATATGAGAACACACGATTCTTGAACCTCTTATCGTTAAACATTCAACATATTGAAAAGTGCTTCGAACAAAAGTTTCAACTTATAACGATGCCTGTATTTTAGATTACGTACTAATTATGAGATGATAAACTTGTATTTTAGAAACGTCTTAATTTCGATCTAAGCTTCAAGTAAAACAGGGGTTATATTGAACCGATACGAACAAAGACTAAATTAACCTTAGATTTTTCGGTGTAGTCTTGCAACATCGAAGGTCATCCAACTGCTTTCAGTAGTTTTGAAGGTAAAACATGCGGCGAATGGACGGGAGAAAGACCAATGAACGCACAGTAAGATACACTTTTTGTCAGCCAGTGTTTCATAACAGTCTCACACTTCCCGTCACGAACTGAAGTCATAGATATGCCTTGGCTCTACTAACCTTGGCCCTGAACTTGACCGACCCTCAACAAAACACGATCGTTGCCTCACTCCACTCTCTCCGACACCTGTCCCGAATTCCTTCTTCCGCGCTTTGTCAGTTCGTTCACTTTCCTTGCTCCTTCATTCACTTTCACCGTTATTCCTACTCACGGTGTTTCGAGATCAAGGATGTCCAAACGGAAGGAACAAAATAATTTATATTATCTTTTTTCAAAGTAGCAGGCAGGTTTTGTTAACATTTGGTATTTGAGGGATACACTGAAATTTTCAATCACAATCAGATCAATGGACCTATATAAGGAAATCTTTCACTCAAAATGAAGCGGCCAGAGAGTGAATCTGACAATTCATTTACACCTAGTGGCGAGGTCTGCAATACGCAGCACACTTTCATGCCGTAGTGTTTAGGGACAGGGCCAACTAGGATTTCATTTTCTAGATTTCAAGTAACGCTTAGTTTATGTGAATTCCAAATGGAGGTGCCGTAGGACCGCAGAACGATCAGTCATATGAAGAAGGCAGATGAGTCACTTCCCGAACCGTTATGTAAATTCCAGTGGAAAATGCTCAACGGAGCTGCGGTGCAATGAAACTCGCATTGTCACTCCTCAGGGCTAAAGAATTATTGTTGTCTTCTGATACTAGCGGGCCTACGTAACGGACATCTTTCTCATGACGTAAAGAAGTAAAGTAAGTAACACGCCGTGGAGGCCCATAGGGTTTTGAAACATCGAGGTTCCCACATTTTCTAGTGAGTCAGCTCATAGATGGCGGTAAGTTTGTCAGCCTTACGCGCCGGCCGCCCTTTACTCCCAAGAATATTCCCGGTACTCATTTCTGTTAGAGGCTGAGTCAACTGCAGGGCCATAGTGCGGCTGGAAGGATCAGGTAAATTGAAAAAATCCAATGTCCTCATCGCGATTCGATCCCGAATGCATAGTGCCATACATGACACGATGACACCCGTGGAATAAATATTAGATGCCTTGCGTAGGCCACGACATTTCATTCCTCATGTCAACTGCAGAGATTTTTTCCCCCCCCTTGGCACTACAGCCCCAGTGGGCCTAGGCCTTCCTCCATGAACTTCTCCGTTCACTTCGGTTTTTCTCGATCTTACACATTCGGTAGGACTCCTTGGGCGGGTGATCAGCTCGTCGCAAGGCCTCTACCTGTACACAAACACAGAAAAACGCACACACAAACTAAACATCTATGCCCTGTGTGGGATTCGAACCCACAATTCCGGTTTTCAAGCGAGCGAAGACAATACATGCCTTTGACCGCTCGGCTACCGTGATCGGCTTTAGTATATAATACCCCTAAGTATTTCGCCAACATAGGTATCTTTATTCGGACAAGTAGACTATAGTCTTCTTACATTCCAGCTCTGGCGCTGTGCGACTGGTCCGATCTCCAGAAGACCCGGCGGAAGATTGCCCGCTTATACTGCTCTCCACGCTTCGCCTCCGTTCATTACGACAACCTGGACCAAGTTGGCTGTGCTGAGATAGTTGAGTTCCTAGCTGAGCTGTCACGTGCCACAAAAGTAACACAAGAATACAAGGTCAAACCCCTGATCCAGGCCGCTTGCTTCAACATGTTCACGCAGTACATGTGCAGTACACGCTTCGCTTACGACAACGCCGCCTCTGCCAAAGTCGTTCGTACTTTCGACGATATCTTCTGGGAGATAAATCAGGGTTATGCCATCGACTTCATGCCCTGGCTTCTGCCTGCTTACAAAGGCCACATGAACGTTATCAGCACATGGGCACAAAAAGTGCGTCAATTCATTCTGTCCCACATCGTGGACAGACATCGCCGGGCAATAGACCCTTCTGCTGGGCCCAGGGACTTCACAGATGCCCTCCTCATACATCTCAGGGAGGATCCAAATCTCAGTTGGGAACACATTATCTTCGAGCTGGAAGATTTCTTGGGAGGCCATTCTGCTATAGGGAACCTCTCCATGCTGGCACTGGCAGCCGTGGTACGCAACCCACAGGTTGGCGAGCGCATTCAGAAGGAGGTGGACGCAGCCACGGGAGGGAAACGTAACGTAAACCTGTTCGACAAGCCAGTGATGCCCTACACGGAAGCCACTATCTTGGAGACCCTGAGGACTGCCTCTTCACCAATCGTGCCACATGTCGCTTCGCAGGACACGTCCATTGCAGGTACATATTCATCAATACATGTAATTTGGAGATTCCTTGCAGATTTCGCTATACATCCAGTGTGTTTCTTCATCACTGTATATATATATATATATATATATATAAAGTCATTTCTTAGTTTCCTCATGTCCGTCTGCTGTGACCCCGAAAGCAGCAGCCCTAAAACTATGTAAGATTTGAAGTTTTCACGGCGGTGACTATGAAGAAAGCAGTCTTCTGGGATTTGGCCCTAAAACTATTATGGGAAATGTTTCGATCAAAATTTTCAAATATATCTACTTGAGCCGTTTCTGTGACATTCATTACGCCTAATTTACGGTACTTTATGCAAGTATTAAGACTAGAAGCATGTTAACTTTATTTTAATTCAATGTTCACATTCCTTAGAGCTTGAAACATATTTTCCAGGATAGGTTATCTCTCAATATCGAAGCAAGAGAAAAAATTCCAGAATGAAAGCTCTACTAGGGGAACAATTGGCTGGAGTCAACGGGTTATAGGTCATATTATCGGATTTCATATCAATCACATTCAATTTCAGAGGAAGTTGCCTCTTGCTCTAAAATGTGAATAAAATTCAGAACGAAATTATGGAAACGAAAGAGAAAATAAAGTATGGAGTTTTGTGATAACAAGTAGAGTTTCACCTCATGCCTGTTTAGAAAGTAACGTTGTTTCGAACCCATCACAACTCAAAAGTATAGCCTTACCAAATAAAAATATGCGTGGAGACGGTCTGTCTGTAACTGCTTTTACACACTTTATTAAGAAAGGAAAGACCGCCTCTGTGGTCTAGTGGTCAGAGGTCCTTGCTACAGATCTAGAAGTTCCGGGTTCGATTCCCGGTGGTACCAGATTTTCTGAGAAGTAGTGGGTCTGGAACTGGGTCCACTCAGCCTCATGAGGACAACTGAGGACATATTTCAAGGAAATGGCGGCTTCGGTCTACAATACAGAGATTAACGGCCTTGGGATCTGTTGCGCTGACCACGCGACACTCTCTATGCTCAAAAGTTGGCACTAACTTTGCCGATAAGCGGCGGTTGCTCGGCCGGTATAGTTCGCTTGCGGACTACAGACCACGGAGTTTTTATTTTATTAAGAAAGCAAATGTATGTCAAAGAAGCAATGCTGAAGGAAGTTTTTACAAGGCTCAACGGAGAGGTTAAAACTTATTTTAAAGTGCTCTTTACAGAAATTCGAAAATGAGGAACAAAAATACAGCTCCCTAGTGGAATTTTTGGTTAAATATGTGTGAAGGTATGAATGTATGTCATATAAGCATATACCAAATGTCGTTTGATTTACTGGTTTGTAAATATCTCCAGGTACTTTGACCCAGCCTGTATTCGGTTAGTAATTTAGGGAAGGTATAAGCATGTTCGTTTAATTTTCAGATTAGGGCACTCAGACAAGCTCTATTCAGCGCACCAGTACAAACACCTTCCTATGATTCCTAATTTGAAAAGATCTTCCAGATATATATAAATTAAACCGCATCCAATGATGGCTACCTCACTCTTCACATATTCAGATATTCTCAGAACCCGCAGAATAGAAATAACACATCCGGAAAAAAAAAAGACTATTCGCTCGTCGTGAGGTAACACATAGGTAATCTTCTATAGCAGTGAACAGTTATATTACACATTAACAGAATTATTAAAAGTGAATTAACCGATTGCTACATGTTAGCGTTTTAAAGTGCGTTGCAAGGACAAACCGCCCACATACGAGTATAAGTACACATAAGCGTGTTATATTGCCTACTTTTTTAAGACTTTGTAAGGTTTGGCACTGTAAGGTTTCGGGTCTCCAAAATATGATTGTTAACCTCATATTTTTACAGACTTAACGGAGACGCCAGCTTTCGAAAGAGTGGTTGAACACCTCTGCAAATGCTTCTATTCAGTTTACTTATTGAATTAAAATTATAGATCTCTGCATCTATACAATAACTACAATAGGCCAATCAGTGGCTGCCGTGCCGAGTGGACCCAGTTGGACTCCACCCCCCACTAAGCGAAATCTATAGAATAACGTAATATGCGAACAATATTAATATAAAAATTATTTCCGGAAAATTACTAATATAGCAATACCCACCAAGTGACTTTTATCGAAATCTTAAACCTAACGCAGCGATTTAACTTCACTATTATAGTTTTCCTGCAAGGCAAGAATTCAGTGAGACGTGATGGTAGAAACGTCAAGTAGTAGATGTAGTTTTCAGAACTAGATGTCTTCGAGCTACAGCGGGATGCCATGTAGTTGAAGCATGACAATCCACACGTCGCGGTCGGCTGGGTAGCAATATTGCTTCGTATTAGGGAATTCCTGGTTTCAAATCTCGACCCGGAGACCGGACACCGTGTTTAAGGCTTTTCATGGATTCCATCAGGTCCTCTAGACAAAGGCTGGGGTAGCTGACCTTGCCTCGAATTAGATAAGGACCGCTCATTTCCACACCCTTCCCAAATCATCAGTTTCTGAACATTCTCCTACCTTGCTCAGTATAGTCTCACCTACTGACGGTGTAGAGGTAAGAGGCAAAATTGTTCCTGAGCTTAACTAATTAAGTACTACGCCATGAAGGCGTATGGGGGAGTCGATGTATAGATCCATGTTTTCTTGAACTCAGCACTAGGCTGGAGGCGAGTGGTCAGCTTCACGCCCCTGCCGCTTTACCGACGGTGTAGGGCCCCCGATACACATTGGATAGGAGGTTGGGTGAACCCCAGAGCCGGTCTGGAAGACATGGACAAGAGAAAATTCTTGACCCTACCAGGACTCGAATTCCGCCCCCTCGGTCGTCCAGCCCATAGCCAATGTAAATAAATGTCAACAATACAGATGATTTGTGAATACGTGCAATAAAGAAACGAAGTCTTCCCGAGCGATTAGACGTGTTTCTGTGGAGCTAGTGTCTGATATTTCAGATTCTCCCTTTCCATGAGAATTAACGGCTGTGGGGTTCAGCTGCGCTGACCACGCGACACCCTCTATCTACAAAAAGTTGGTACTAACTTCGCCGACTTGCAGCGGTCGCTCGGTCGGTATAGTTCGCTTGCGGACTATAGGCCAAGGAGTTTGTTTTTGTCTCTTTCCCTATCATCAGGGGTTGAGGTGTAAACCTAATTGTCGCTCTACAAACAGGAACCTGCCGGTTGTTGACCGAATAATGCTTATTACTTACTCCTTAGCTCTATGGTTTCCTAGGAACCTTCACTTACTTTAATACATTTACTCATATATCCGTCATCTATCTTTAGGTTTCGTACAACACATTGCTTTTTGAGCTGACGTCGTCACCCTCATGCCGAACGCCAATCAGGGGATTAAGAAAAGTAAAGCTATCCTTGTAACAGACCGTGAAGGCCCATAGGGTTGTAAGACGTCGAGGCTGCCACATTTTCTAGACAATCGGCTCACAGATGGAAGTGAGGTTGGCAGCCTTACGCGCCGGCCGCCGTTTAACCCCCCCCCCCTCAGGAAAATTCCTGGTACTCATTTCTGTTAGAGGCTGAGTCGACCCCGGAAACATAGTGTGGCTGGAAGGATTAGGTCAATTGAAAACTCCAATGACCTCATCGGGATATGAACCCACGACCTTCCGGCTTGTAGCATAGTGCCTCAACCAACGGACGACCACGATCTATTTCGATATACGCATATTTGCAAGTAATTTCCTCAAATCAATTAATATCAACCGGTAGACTGTAAATCGGAACCCATTTCCCCTGTGAAAATAATATGAAGCTAGCAGCCTTTCTTCGCGTCTGTTTCGCAGCTGATTAGTTCTTGCTTTCTTACCACAGATATCGCTTTAGGGAAACAAAGTGGTTACTTTCCTTTCTGTATGGACCTATACGTGACCGCCTCTGTGGTCTAGTGGTCAGAGTGCCTGACTAGAGATCCAGAGGTCCCGGGTTAGATTCACGGCGCTACCAGACATTCTGAGAAGTAGTGGGTCTGGAACGGGGTCCACTCAATCTCGTGAGGATGATTGAGGAGCTACTTGAATGAAAAAGTAGCGGTTCCGGTCTAGAAAACTGAAATTAATGGCCGTGGAGATTCGTTGCGCTGACCATGTGAAAACCTCTATCCGCTAAAGTTGGCACTAACTTTACCGACAAGCGGCGGTCGCCCGCTCGCTCGGTCGGTCGGTATAGTTAGCTTGCGGACTAAAACCATGGATTCTTTTATGGACCTATACATCGATGCAAACGTTCTGAGCTTGTAAATTCTCTCTTTTATTCTGTGAATTCTTTTATTGCGAATGTTCCGTGTTACGATTTTGTTTCTTGCACTTTACAACATAAAAACCTTATTATATTTAAATAGAGCTGTTTAGATGAGTTTGTGATAGATGTATATACCATTATTAGTGCTGTACCCGTTAAAGATTCAGGGGCAATTCTCCTCGTATTCCCTTCTAATCCTACGTATTATCGATGCATGCGTTGAGGCAGACATTTATGGATATTCAACACGAATAACACACACAAACAATATTCCTTTAAGGAGTATATTACGCTTTTCATATCCAAACCAAAATATTATCAACACTCGCAAACTAGGAACGACAAACCGAAACTAAATACTGCTCTCTCGTTCTTGCCCTACTACATAATTTACTTTCAATAAATTTGTTAGCGCTCGAAAATTCGTTGCTATAGTAATCTGCATTAGGGAGCCGGGACAGTGCAATCGGTATAGCGACTGGGTACGGGCTGGACGACTGAGGGGTCGAAGTTCGTGTCCCGGTAGGGTCAAGAAATTTTCTTCTCCGCGTTGGCCAGACGTTCTCTGAGGCCCACCCACCTCCTATCCAATGGGTACGGCAAGCTCTTTCCTCGGAGGTAAAGCGGCCGGTACATGAAGCTGACCACTTACATCCAACTAGTGCCGAGGTCAAGAAAATGTGGATCTATACATCCACTGCCCCATACATCTTCATGGCTTAGCGCTTAATTAGTTAGGGACACGGACGACTTTACCATTTTACTTTTACAGTAACCTGAATTACTTAATGTCAGTGATAAACCTTGTATTTGTGAAAAAATATTTGTAGGGTGCAGTGTGAAGCAAAAAGGTTGCTGGTCCTAGAAACTCCCCTCTGTTTCACTGGTCCATAAATCATAAATGTTACAAATATTGCTTTAAATTATAAACTGCCTATTATAGGGTAAATCTAGTAAAGTATACTTTTTAATTGCCCCACAATTTATTGTATATGAAGGCAATTTACTCAATTATTGTCAACTGATCATGATGTGGCTCATAGAAACAGGCCTTAATGAACTAACCTTACAAAGCTCATCATGATGATGATTATGACGATGACGTAGTCTTATCAAATATTATAGAACAGAATGTGTGAAGTAGTTATGTTTCTGTTGTTTCAGGATACCCTGTGGAAAAGGGCACAATGGTTTTCATCAACAACTTCATGCTCAACTGCAGCGAGGAATACTGGGAAGCTGCCAGCGAGTTCCGCCCCGAGAGATTTATCAAAGATGGGAAGGTGACGAGGCCTGATTATTTCATCCCATTCAGCACCGGCAAACGCACTTGCATCGGACAGCGCCTAGTGCAAGGATTCACCTTCATAATCATAGCCTCCATCTTACAGCATTATGACGTCACTTCATCCAACCCGTCGTCAATTCGTACATATCCAGCATGTGTTGCATTACCCAGCGACACATTTTCGCTTACGTTCAAGCCCAGAAATCTTGCATCTGCGCATGCTCGCTAGTGTATCCCCTAACCCTGCAATTTCATGCCAAACATGTACATACATTTAGTCATAAGTGATAATTGCCAAATCTCGTATGTCCTTGCAATAAACATAGGCTTAAGAAATTTTGAATTCACTTTAGGGGACAAGTCAACAACAGTTAAGACTTCTTAGCATGCGCGTATTATGTGTCTTGATCATAGGGTTCGAGCCGCGTTGGTTGCTCACATGTTGGCCGATTTAGGGCTAGCATTCCAGTACACACATATATATATATATATGTTGCCAAATTCGCTCTGTATATGCATAGACATAGCAGACAAACCTGGGAAATAGAAGTGAGAACTACAGTTCTGCGCATGCGTGATCCTCATACTTCTTTCAAATGTCGTGTCTTTCTTACGGTCTATGATCTGTTATTTTAATGTTATTTAAACCACTGGCATCGTAAATCCCCGCTGTAGAAATAGCGTGTATACCTTCTAATTCTGTTTCTCCTGGTTCAGCATGGACAATCAACGCGACCCAAATAGGTGATTATACTACACATTGTACTCGTAACTAGCAAGATTATTTTGTGGAAATTTTTCATATTAAAAATAGCAAAAGAGTTAGTTCCCAAATCTAAAAATATATCATATTTCTATATTTATTATCTTCTTTCGCAGTTACAATACTGTCTTATTTATGGAATGTCAAGTGAAAGAGGGTCTTGACCTTGAAACCTTTCCCTGTTAGAAGAAGGGAATGTTTTCAAGGCCAAGCTCGTTTATTCGCCTATACATTTACAAACAGTGACATGTTGAACAAGAGGATCTGTATCCAATAAGGTAAAATGTATGTTAAGTGAAAGTAAGTTAATGAAATACACTTTGAACAGTTAAGTGAGGCAAGAAGCTATATTTCTCCATTTTACTTTATATATAAAATCCAATCATACGGCAATGAAGTGAGAATACCATATCGTTGTATTTTGTACATCACTTCACTAAGTCAGAAACGAGACATTCTTGTATATTGCCCTGCGCTGCTGAGTCAAGCAACTGTGACCAGCTCAGCAGCAAGTTTTATCAAGGTTTGCCATAATTAGCTCTGTGGCAGCAGAACTTGAAGGTTTAAACTGCTAATACCAAAGCACACCATTAGACACGATCCAGAGTCAATTTCATCCGCTTATAATCGTCTCAGCCGACTGATCTTGGAGGTAGCTATTTCTATTAGATTACCCTAGCAAAATTCTCTCCACCATAGCTTCATTCATTCATCAGTGGTTCTACAGCCCTTTGTTAGGCCTTGGCCTCTTCTTCAGCTTCGTAATTTGTTTACACAGACAGTAGGACTCCTTGGAAGGGAATCAGCCCTTTGCAAGGCCGCTACCTACGCACAGGACAACACAAACACAGAAGAAACGCATACACAGACATCCATTCTTTGAATGGGAATCGAACCCATGATCTCAGATTTCTAACTAGCGAAGACTGTTCATGCCTTAGACCGCGCGGCCACTGTGATCTACCTTCATTCATCACAGAGTAGCTCAGTATGTAACATCTTCATTTCTCCAGTGACTTCATCTCTCTGAGGCTCTTCGTTATGAAACTGGTGATACTTCTATCGGTCTTTTCCTGGTTCGCTTTTTTTTTTTTTTTTGTTTCCTTCATGAATCCGTCGATAAACACACTCTTACGTCCTATAGTACAGGGTTATTCATAAGTCTGCGAAACATTTTAAAAATTCACAACAAATAAATTATGCATCGGATCATGGTAATTCTTACACCGATAGAGAATGAATCTCTCCAAGTCTTTTTTAAAGCCTACATTGCCTGCTAATCTCAGGGATCTTCGCAACCGTATCACCGCTGTTGTGGCGCTGGTCAACCGTGATATGCTGACACGGGTCTGGGACGAAATTGATTATCGCATAGGTTCTGCCGTATCAGCAAAAGTGGACACATTGAGCATCTGTGAACTATGTAGAAAGAACTTGATGAGTTTATCTCTATTTCAGTGTAATAAAATTTAGTATCCGTTGCGTAGTTTATTTATTGTAAATTTTCAAAATGTTTCACGGACTTATGAATAACCCTGTATTTCTAACACAGAGTATATAATAGATCTTTAACTTTTTAATATTTTTTTTATTTCGCTTAGTGGGGGGTGGAGTCCAACTGGGTCCACTCGGCACGGCGACCACTGATTGGCCTATTGTGCCTGCCCCAGGTGATTATGATGAAGGGAAATTTGGTGGAATGAAGATTGGCAGGGGAAACCGAAGTGCTCGGAGAAAACCTCCCCAGCGCCACTTTGTCCACCACAAATCCCACTTGACCAGACCCGGGCTCGAACCCGGGCCGCCGCAGTGGGAAGCCAGCGACTAACCGCTTGAGCTATGGCGCGGTCGACCACTGAGTCAGTTACTCACTACTCCCAGAATAGTTCTGTAACGCATCCAGCTTCGTATAAAATGTGTCCATCACCGGGCTTTGTTCTCCCGCAGGTAAAGACAGCTGGAATATAAAGCTGATAAAAGGGCCTCGACGAAATTTAGTGTTGGTTTAACATACGAAGTTTCTTCAAAATTGAGTATTTAATTTTGGCACTGTTACTTCCTGAAGGACTGGAATCATCAGTTCCTCCAACTCCTTCGGAAATGCACCCAACTTTTGCCATAGCGCAGACGCTTTCAGTTATGAAGCAAACGTGGCTGTCTATACACATGACTCAGCTCAAAGTAATGCGGTCAGAGACCCTATTAAATGGACCTGTCCAGCCGCAACTACCAAGAGTGACGCGTGCCTGTAGTTTGCATATTGTACAAGGACATTCTTCCGAGGTGTGTATACTTCCTCCTTCCCGGGCACAAAAAATAATGAAGCCGGGATATTTTTAATTTCCTTGGTGGGGGGTGGGGTCCAACTGGGCCCACTCGGCACGGCGGCCACTGATTGGTCTATTGTAGCCTGCCTCGGGTGATTATGATGATGGAAAATTTAGTGGAATGAAGATTGGCAGGGGAAACCGAAATACTCGGAGAAAATCCGCCCCAGAGCCACTTTGTCAACCACTAATCCCACTTGACCAGATCCGGGATCAAACCCGGGCCGCCGCGGTGGGAAGCCAGCGACTAACCGCTTGAGCTACGGCGCAGCCAAGCCGGGATTACTGTCTTTCTTCTTCCAAAAACCAACTCTAACTCTTTCTTGCTAACCTCAATCATTAGTCTAGTCCTTTCTAACGAACCCAATAGATTAAGATCTGAAAGTTTGTGACGATGGTATATTAAAACACTTACTATGTTTCTGATCAGGACGATTAATAATACCCAGAAACACAATAATTGGACCCAGTAGGATAGGTCCCCTCGCCTGAGGACCGAAAGATACCGTTTCCGAAACGTTGTGGTCATTAGAATACCGGATAATGTTTAAAACTCAGAAACCCAATAATTCCGAGAACTGTATATCATCGTCACAGCCCTTAAAAAAATACGCCGTGGCCTGTAGTCCGCAAGCGAACTATACCGACCGAGCGACCGCCGCTTGTCGGCGAAGTTAGTTCCAACTTTTCAGCTTCTACAAAGTAATACAGCTTTGCCGAATTGGTTTTGAATGTGTTGGTGTTTGATTATTATACTCAAATATTGAACAGTAGTTTCTCGAAAACAATATTTATATATTTTTTTATTCTTTCGCATACTACAGACAAGATAATTTGTTCTGTAGCCGAATTCTTGCACCCTGATTGGATTTGGCGTGAGATGTCATCCAATAGAAAATTCATTTTTGTCTTGATGGTTCTATCCATTGATTTACAGTCTGAAACAAACTATATATAAGTTTCCGTGGAAGAATACAGATGAAACAATTATTAACAGAATATTGCGCATAGAAAAGATTAAGCTGTATTAAAGGTAAAGCTAGATCTACACTTATGCCTACTCAGCACTAAGTAAATTTGTAGGACCGCAAAAGTATGGCTCTAACGTAGGAAGTGAGCAGTCAAGATTCACGTTCTGGGTGACTTTTCACTTTGAATAAAGTCTCGTAGTTGTTCTGTGGTGAAAAATACACCCCCTTCCCCCAACGCCTTCTAGCCCTGATTCTTTTTCTGCTCTATCACAGCTCCGTCGGAGAGTACATTTTTTCTGCACTTGGTCGAGGTCCAACAAGTAAGAAAACTGCTTGGAGCTGATGCTCAGTTTTTACCTAGTCTTCAATGAAAATGTCAAGTTTCAAGTATTACGATTATATAATACTCTCAGAAGAGATCCGCTGTCAGACATCCAGCTAGCTCCAACGTGTAGGGCCGCACATCTCGGACCAGTGAGTACCACTGTTGGGATGTCTCGTTTCAAACCTCGAATTATATCCCTTATATTATAACTAAAGATTTCGTGGTTTTCCTCAGACCCTCCAAGAAAATGTCGGAATAGTACTTAAAATTAGGCCACGACATCTTCCATCTATACTATGCAATTCGTTATTCATTCTACTGTTTGAAAATATATAACCTGAGCAACTGACAGCGTCGTTACGTAAATCGTAAACAAACAAAAAATAAACTCATGGTACAGGGTGTTGCTTCTCTTAGTCAGTCGGTCATGTTATTTGCCGGTGTGATAGGACCCCAGTTAACACAGTATTTTCTAGAACCTTGTCTGAATCAGATGTAATCCTCTCAAAGTCCTCACGCCACCTTTCTGTAAGACATATTTCAATGTTATCCATTCATCTATACTCAGGTGGCTCAAGTAAACTTTTCCTTCATATTCTCCTACTGAACTTGCGTGCATTTCTCGTCTCCCTTATGCTAGCTACATGTCTATTCTATCACACTACCTTGTTTTAAGTGCTCCAATAATAGGAGCATTTGATGAAAGTATGAAATTCTCATTATAGGAAGTTTGTCCATTATCTTGTCGCTTCATTCCCCCTACGTTTAAATGTTCTCCTCAGCACCGCTCTCAGATACCGCCCGTCTATTTAGGATTTGAGGTGGTAGTTACGAATTCTGTCTTCTCGAATGAAACACCGTGCAGTCCTGTGAAAGTCAACCAATGTTCCTGCTTAATTTTGGTCGATTCTCACCGGACTACACTGACTTATATCCCTGAAGATTTAACTCTTCAGTTCTTAAAATATTTCTAATGTAAGCTATTATTTAATTATGGTATCCATAATTGTGTGTACAGCGAAAGAATTAGGGAAAAGTACGCTGACAAATTGGCCCAGATGAGCCACGCATCTTGACTAATCGGTATTTTATTCAAAAGAATCTAATAATCCCATTATATACATAATAGTAACGTTAGGACTCACATTATGAAGTCATTTTCTTTTGAGTTTATAATTTTGGGACTTAATTCGTGAAAATACTCAGCACACTCAAGCAATTTGTATATCAGTCAGTATCCAAAATTCTATGTAATATAACATAAATAATGCATAATAATATACTGATTCTACAGGTGTCCGAAATATTGCCCATCGTAGGTAAATTTAAAATCTGCTCAGTGGGATACCCCACGTTCAGCAGGAGCGATGAGTCACCACCGCATTTCTCTGACTGCAGGAGCCACGCGGCTGAATAATCACGCATTCCTCGAGCGGCCTCTTATTTTCACCTCGGCCTGAGATGAGTAAATTTTCGGGCCCCTGTAAATTGTTTTAGTTTATTTTGATTTCAGTAAACATTAAAAACACAAATTTCTTGTCAAATTTGTCTATTGAACGATGTTATCATAAAACTACAAAGAGAATTTATGATAAGTGAATAGACTTATTATTACTAATTGTATGAAATGAATATTTTTATTCAGATATTCATTCACTAATTAATATAAATAATTTGATAACAGTAAGTTTACATGATGTCACTGAATGGGAGGCCATGTAAACTTGCCTATATATTTGTGTAGTTGTAAATATCTGTACGTAGGAACTAACGAAACTCGTACATTTAACATTTAAATAAAGCATAACATAACACACATATGGTATTGCTTGCACTGAAGTACCTATTTTATGTTTAGCTCAGTTACTGACGATAGGTAATGTTTGGTTGGATTTAAAAATTATGTACGTAAGTTATTTACATATATATCTATGTGTTCAATGCAGAATGATATTTTTAAGCTCTTATATTGTTTACTTATAACAGTTACATTGCAAAATTTATTATTATTTGGTATTGTATACGTAGAGCTTGATTGCATGCTGCATCTGTAAATAAATAAATTCCATTTTATTGAAATCACTGATTTTATTTCATGCTTTCGCCGTGAAAACTTCAAAGCATAGACGAGTATTAATCTGACTTTTTT